AGAGCAAGCCCGGCCGTGAGGGCAGGAGGGGCCGGGGCGGCCGAGGCCCTGCCCGGGGCGTCCCCTGGCCTTGGGGGGGACGGGAGCCGGGCTGCCCACAGAGGGAGCCCGGGGAATGGTCTGATCGGTGAACCGGAGGGTCTCGCAGGTACCCGAGGCTCTGCTCAGCCCTGCTCCCGTCCTCTGCCGGCTGGAGAGGGCGCAAGGGCCACGGGCGTGTCCCAGAGCCCGCCGCGGGCCAGAGCAGCCCCCGCTGCCGGAGCTCCCCTGCCCCGCTCTGCACAGGCCTGGCCCCTGCTCGGAGCAGAGGGCAGAGGGGCCTCAAGAGCGCTCGGGGGCTGTGTTGTGGAGCTCGGGACCGAGGGTGCGGCTCTCTGTGGCTCTGCTGGGCCAGGGCAGGGGGGCACGGCCGCAGAGCCGGAGGGGGGGGCGGCCCTGGCCCAGCCTGGGCCCCGGGGCTCATCCTCGCCGAGCACCGCCGGTCCTCCGCGGCTGCTGCGGCTGCTCCGGGTGCTTGAGCTCCTTCCACTCGAGGAGTTCTGCCCAGGAAGGAGACCTCTGGGCTTTGTTCCTGCGGTGATCCCGCCCGTAGGGATCCCCAGCTGGGACATGCTCCCACCAGAGTGTCTGGGGGTCTCTTGGGGACAGCTGTGAGGGACAGGGACCGAGGCTCGAAGCCCTGGTGGGGACAGCTGGGAAGTCTCTGGGGACGGACGTGTTCAGCCTCTGTGGCCAGGAACCTGCTGGAACAGGCAGGGCAGGTGTTGGAAATGGCCTTGCCAGCTTCTCTGCCCCTGCTGGTTCTGCAGGGACCCTCCCCACTGGCAGGATTGTGCTTTCACCAAAATACAACTCTTCCCAGGGCTTGCTGCAACTCTCTTTTAGTCTCTGGTATTTTCACATGTATTGGGAAGGAAAGGTGTGCTGGTTTGAAAGTGAACCAGTGGGAGAAACGAGCCCCACTGAATAACCTTAAGAGAGATTTCAGGTCAGAGTTACAATTTGCTAGAGAGGTTCCTATAAATGCAGTGATACAGAGGAAACTGGCTTAGACCCACAAAATCAGAGTCCAGCCTGGCACACTGTTGGTCAGTGTGATGGTGGCAGCCCTATCAGGTGGTGTTTGCAGTCTGTGTTCAAGTGATGGTTGCACTCTTGTGGACAGTGGTGGTCCTGTGGAAGGTCCAAATCCCTTGAGGTGGTCTTCTCCCAAGTCCAAAGGTTATATACACTTTCGTTCAGGTGGGAATGCTCAGTACTTCCCCCAGGGTGGTGAGAGTTTCAGAGTGGAATGATACAATACTCTGAGTTATGGGGTATTTTGGGAATCCTTGGTCTAAGTCACTTCAGTAGCCCATTCTGCTGGTGCTGCTGTCTGGAAACAGAAGACAAACTCTTCCAAACAATACTGAAGTAGTACTACAAAAAGCGGTTCTTTAATGAAAGCTTTCAGGCTCACAGAATATAGGAATGCACAAGTGTAGTATTTCTACAGTTTTAAAAAGGTTGAGTAATTATTGTATCATCTTTTACATCCAGTAAGAGACCAGCTGCCCTAGCAGGAGCCCACCCTTGGGGCTGTCTATATTAAATAAAAATGTATCAATTTTTTGGCAACCACATTTGGGGAATATTTTGAACCTTCGAAGTTCTTTCTGGTTTATACACAGTGACTTAATATTTTTTTTTTTTAGCTCTTGTGGGTTTAAACTGGACTGTAACACCCCTCCCATGGTCTGATTGTCTGAGGGTCCTCTGGAGAGCCTCACCCTAGCAGCAGGAGTTGCCCCTAATCCCGGGGAGCAGCCCAGAGCCTGGTGGCAGAGGCTCTCCTCACCCCAGTAGTGTGCCTGGAGGAATTTCCCCAGGGACAGAATCCTTCTCTGTTCCCTCAGGGGGTTGCCCAGCAGTACAGCCTATCTCTGTGTGTGTGCTGTTACTGTGCAGCTTTTCTGCTGCTTTTCCACTCGACCTTAAATCGAGTTAAAATCACACTTATAGCCCACATCTCAGAAATAAAACTTAACGGTGTTGAGGCATTCTTATTTCATAATTAAATCAGTCCCTCATGTGAGAAGCGCCTCACTTTTTGATATAACTGAGAGAGGACAAAGTATTCAAAGCAAAAAAAAAGTATTTGCAATGACGAGTAAGCTGAGCCCATTGTGTATATCACTCCTTCGAGAAGGGAACAAACACAGTCTTTGTTAAAATGGCAGCTTTTTATGCCCTGTCACAGCACGGGGCCGTCCCTGTCCCCATTCCCATTGGATTTACTCAGGAACTTCCACCCTCTCCCGACAGCAGACCCTTCTGTCCCCTCCCCTCTCATCTCTTCTTGGTCATGCCTTCCACCCTGCTTCTCTCCTGGGTCCCAGCAGCACTTAACAAGTGTTATGTTAATGAACAGATCATCTGTTAATGAACAGATTAAACAAACGGCATCTAAGCCATAGGTAAGCACAAGTACAAAACACAATGAACAGTTTTCCTTCTTTTACTCCCTAATCTTTTTGGGCTGAAGTAAGTTGTTATTTCATCCCTCACACTCAAAACCACCAACATCTTTCAGGCCTCTGTACCTGGCATCTTTCTACTGCAGTTCTTGGACCACTAGCCAAAACTGAATGTACTCCCAAAATACCTGAATAAAATTGGTGCATGTATATATAAAACTAGCTATATACTTATACAGAAAGAAAAAAAAAAAAAAAAGGATTAACTAAATGTGACTACCTGTCCAAAAAAACCCCCAACCCTAAAAAGAAATGGTTTTCACCACAAGGGGTGTTTCTGTAACTGTAAAGTAATAGCAAAGTGCCACAATTCTGATCTAAAGAAGGACCAAAGGGAAGAACATATGATTACAGTGTTTTTTCCAGTCCTTTTTATATTTCTCTTATACATTGTCTCCTATTTTACCATCAAAGCTAGCCAGCTGTCTCCTTCATTTCCCTGTTACCCAATTCAAGGGAACTGTTCCATTTTTAATGCTTTCTAATGTATGATTTTTAAAATTTCCTCTACTGGAAGAGAGGCCGTGCTTTTACTAGAGATAAGCTAATTGAGTATTTTATTGAGTATTGAGTATTGGGTACCATACTGAGTACCATTTCTTACACTTTACAGCATTCAGAATTAGATTATGCTTTTACTGTATTTTCATTCATATTCTCCCTGTTGCATAAGAAAATAAGTCTTTTTGGTTTTTTATGTTTTACATTTACCAAGATTCCAGGTGCAGCTTCTTATTCTAAATACCAATGCTAGCTCATATCATGAATTTCAGGGATTTTTTTTATGGGAACACAGAACTATTTAACAATTCCATAGCTGAAAAATGTTGTTACCTTCAAGGAAGTTCTATTTGATTGTAAGAATTTGTATTCTTGTCTTCCTGTATTCTAATGCTTTCAAATGCTGTATAGTCATAAACATATTTTGTCTGTATCACTCCATGATTCATCAGAAACTGAATTTACGACATTAATAAAAAGAGTAGGTTTTGATTCAGTCTATTTATGATCCATTTATGTCACATTCTGTGCATATAGCCTCATAAATAATCTTTTATTGTTGCTCAGCCCAAAGGCAATTGAGTTCTGGATACTCTGAGCTGGTAAAGGAGTGGAAACATCAAAGGCAGTAAAACAATACTTAAATGGGTTCTCACATCCAAAATATTGTTCTTCTTTGGCCTTTGACCCATGAAAAACAAACAAACAAACAAACAAACCAACAAACCTATTTCTGTCAGGCTAACCTAGTGCAGTTTAGTACAAAGCAGGTACTAAACCAAAAATGAAAAAAAGACCTCCCAGATGATCTTTTAAAATGCCTTTTAATTCAAGCTAAATGACATTGATGGTTTTATGATTATATTTCAGCAATGCCTCCAATAAGATACATCCCTTTCAAACACAGAAGAAGCAAAGCTCATTACTGGTAGAGAACAAGACCAATTAATTTAAACTAAATCCTATTTTAGTAAAGTCATGGGGAAAAAAAAAAAAGAAGTCATTCTACATCTAGCCTATATTGCAAAAATTGATCCAGGTTAAGAATAGATAAGGATCATTTGCCTGTCAGTTCAGTCTTCCAGACCACCAACCATGCAAGTGTAATTTTGGTAGTCATAAAATAACATTGTTTAACTTTTTTGTTTTTTGTTCATAGGCAAGGCAAACAACTAATATCTGAATTACCTTTTGAAAACATCTGCATAGAATATGCCAGTTCTGAGTAACTTTTATTAAAAGTCGAAACCTGAAATTCTGAAAAAAAATGTAACTCTTAATTTCAGAGTCATACTTTATTTCTAATTCACACATGTTAATTATTTAATTGTCTTTGCACCTTTAAATGCAGATTGTGTTGTATAATGAAACAAAATATTTGGTTGGTTACTTTTAACTCGTTAAATTCCTTTTTCTTCCAAAGAAATACTGGAAAGAATGGATTATTGAATCTAGAAAAGAGACAGCTGTAGAAAAGATAGCATTGAAGAGTGCTGACTAGATTTAAAACATCAGAAGGTAGAAGGCTAATTTTTTTTTCAATTTCCCATAGAAAAGTAATAGAAATTTAAGTTCAAGAAGGAAAACACAAGCTAAGTGCAAGGAAAAGAAAAATATTTTTGAAGATTTGAAGGCATGAAGATTTAGCAGAGAAAATACATTATTTTTCCAGAGTATGTAGCTTAGAAAACTTGAGGTTTTCAAGAGTTTAGCCACGTGTCAACATTGGCTCAGGCAGATGAATGGACACTTCTATTTTTCCGTGTTTCAGTAAAAAAGTGATGACAGAAATTCTAAATCCTCAGGTGAAAGGCAAGTTTTATGTGGTACTGAGCAATCTCAGTGTAAACCTCATGGATGCACAGCAGATTTTATTTCCACACAGCTGAAATAATTTATCTCAGCCATGACTGGGCTTTCCAGAGTGGCAGTGCGGTGCCTTGTCCCGTAACGACTGAGCCAGCTCCGCGCAGCGCCCATTCCTCCCATTCCTTTCCAGCAGTAAAACTTGGCTGAAGCCTGTAGAAAACACCTGTGGAACACAGGCAGGCTCACTGGACAACGTGGGCAGGGAATGCAAACGGTGTTTCTGCTCAAAGTGTCTTTTCAAAGTGTTTGGCACAACCTTCTGGTCCCATTTGTGGAGAACCGCCCTGCTTGGGACACAACACTCAGGCTGGAAACCAGCTGGGAAAGCCTCACCAGGAGAGATACCCAAGCAAATTCCAATCTGTTTATAAATAATTGGGCACAGCTGTTTGGGTGTTTTGATTCAAAGGGTCTCAGCTTTGTCCAGTGTGCAGGTCAAGGTATGGAAAGGCAGGGATGGCTGCTGGCCTCCCTTTCTGCTGTCAAAGCTATGGGAAGGTGATGGGGCTGTTTCAGCCTTTATCACGTCATGACAGTGTGGAGATGGCACATAATCAATGCTTTTTTCAAATAAATGGGCTGTATTGTTTTACCTTCATGGGCAGAAATTAAAAATTAATCTTACTAATAAAATGTCCTGGGAGATAATGTGTTTTAGGAAGCACATCCTCAGATTTTTTAATCAAGAAAATTATGACTATCTGCTTATTTTCTGCTTTGTTTTTTTAGTTAAGTTCAGTATCACTGGCAATTCCTAAAAATACCATTGCTTATTGGTGAGAAAAAGTATAATATGCTAAATTAAATTAAGAATTTGGCTACCAATATATACCAGCCATGGAAATGTTTATCTTCTGCTTGTAACTACATAACTTTCCTGTCTTCATAAGTTCCTGGTGCATCACTACTGTATAGATTGCTGATGGTCACATAACAGATTTATTTTTGTTCTTTTTTTTTCTATTTTTGCTATTTTTTTAAAATAGTAGGGATGAAGAGAAAGTCATGTACAGCTAAGACTTGCTCAGAAAAGACCTCAAAAGCAATGCTTTGCACAGGGGCTTAAACCTCACATAAAATTTTTCACCTTTTGAATCAAGGAATTCCAAATCATCTACGCACTATTTAAAACATTCTGCTAAATGTTGTACTGTATGTGGGTGCATCACTGAGGGGACACAGTGATTCCTGGCATAGTGGTGACTGTGAAATCACGGTGACAATTTAATCTTTGTTTCCTTTAACGGGATATAATAATTACCATAGCACATAATCTATTACTAAAATGGTGCAGGACCTCTGCAAGCAAGGGTACTGTGAAGTCAAGACTGTTTTCCCACAACTTTTGTAGAACTTTCTCTGACTAATCAACTGGATGTTTTGGGTTTTCAGTTCTGTGGGAAGGTTAAAGGTCAACAACGAAGTCTAAGAAGGGTCAAGATTTTGCAGGCTACTGGAGGATAGAAAACACTTGTTCTAACCAGGATATTAGGATTTGGTTTGTTTTTTCCCCCTTCCCTATCAAACTATCTAGAAATAAGTTTGGAGCTGGATTTAATCTGAGTTTTCTCAGAATACATATATCTGCCTATTTACAGAGAGCAGTCTTGAAAAACTCTAAACAGGAACAGGGGGAAAATGTTAACAGTAAAACCTATCAAAGTACATTCTCCATTGTCTTTGAATGATCTTTATTCCCATGGATTTGAGGCTACCAGATACAGATTTATTACCATGAAGGAAGGACAGAACCATCACACAAGCCATCCTGATTGCTGTTATGTGAACACAGGGAGGTTTCCTTCAAGAGAGGAAGATGCTTTCCACTGTATGACCCTGTGGGAATCCAAAAATCTCCTTGTTGTGGCTTTCATTTATTCTCATTTTAATGTTTCGTGGTGTTGCACACCATGTTTTATTCATTTCAGCTGGATGTGATGATGAGCTTGGAGAGCATTGTTTATTTTAATTAGGTCTTAGCATGGCTCATCCACATCAGTAGCCTGTAAAATTAGAAATGTTTGTTTTGTTTGTTTGTTTTCCATGAGCTTGGAGCAACCCAATTAAAGCTTGGAAGACTGTAAAATGCTCAGACTCATAGGACAAAGCTTGGAAAGAGATTGTTTCTTTAATTTAATTTCATTTACCATGTAATTCTTTATCAAAATCTAACCAAATATAATTCCTCAGCTGTGTGCTGTATTTTTAACTATTCATAAAAATTGCCAAATGCTGACACTCTGTTTTCTGCTTGGTCCTTGCTCCCTCTGCATGGGGTCGGGCATGGCTTTGCAATGCCAAGTTTTGTGCAGGTGTCTCAGGAATGAAGTTTGCAGAGTGGCATTCAGGTGTCTTCTTTGGAGCTGAAAACCATTTCATGGAAGTTTTGTCAGCAGATGGTCTATTTCTTTAATTTTTCACTCATGTGTAGTGTGGTAGGAACAGTGTAATATGTATTTTTTTTCCCAAAGAATCCTAGTTTGTTGCTCAAATATTGGTTGTCATAATGAACTGCCATGTGTAATCCAGAATAGTATTAGTTAGCATCTTTCTCTCCTCCAAAATATATCTGTTGAAGTGGGTTTTATTGATTTATTTTTTTTCTAATCTACTTCAAATTATTTGTTTTTTTAAATAAAAGTATTCAGACCTACATACCCTCCTTTCACTTCTTTTTTTTTTTATGTTTGGTTTTGTTTTTTTTTTTCCAGGAAGTCTTAGTAGGGGAATGTTGTAATTGAAAGCTAATTGCCCTTCATCCAGTTCTTCATCCAATCCACCATTTTCCTGCTCATCCCATTTATATTTCTGGCAAGAAGTAAGGACAACATTTTGTGGCTTTGTAACTCATGAAAAATGTACATCTTCAGCAATATTTGTTATGTTAGTGTATGTCAACAATCACTTTTCTTCCATTCAAGATATAAGTACCTTTGAGAAAGAAAGAATGTTCAAAGTACAGTGATTTCTTCCTCATCACTCTAAGAATAATTAATTTTCCACCTTCTATTTTGATCAGGAAGTGCATTGTATTCTATAGCACTGCACTTCTTTGTCAGGTCCTTATTCTTTATTTCATAGCTGGTTCTAATGGCTTTTAAAAAATGCCTTAATATGTAATTAATATGGCTAAAGTCATCACAGAGCTCTGCAAGACAGGCTCTAAACCAGGGATACTTCATTTAAATTAATTTTTATTAAGTTTTATTAAGTTTTATTAAGTTTTATTAAGTTTTTTCCTTTCCCCCCTGCACTGGCAGCCTGGCATATGGAACCACAAATACAGCAAGTGAAAAAAGTGTCTGAAACTGATGAGGCCCATGGCACCACTTCCATCAGCCACAAAAAACATTTTGTTTCTTGTGATTTCCTGATTATTATTATTTTTTTAAAGGGATAAAGAGTAGAACTCCTCTCTTTACATATGGATGTGTTTTCTCCCATGGCTGAGCTCTCGTAACTCACATTAATGCCAGTGTGAATTGCGTCCTCATTTCAGGAGGAAGGCAAGAACGAATGTCACTTGGTGCTTCCCAGTGACATTCATTTTAAAGCCACCAGGTGTGCAGTGCCAAACTCATTATCTCAGCTGTTTTTGTTTTCTTTTTGCCCTGTATAGCAAAGCAAGCTGTCACAAACAGAAGGATGTTCATGGACACTGCCTAGACCTTCACCACAACAAAAGGAAACACAATCCTTATTACCTCTGGAGCATGTTTCCTTCTCAGAAGGGTAGAAATGATTAGTTACAGACAATTTCTCTGGCTAAATCTCTTTTCAGTAATAATTTCTCAACACCTGCTTAGTCTGCTTTTTTTTTTTTTTTTAGCTCCAACAGCAGAAGTGCTCTTTATCCCTCACCATCATGACAAATCCTGGCAAAAACCCTTGGAAAAAAAATGGAAAGATTGGAAAGAATGGGAAAAAATGGAAAGTGAAATTTTATCAAGTTGAATATAGTAACAAATATATATATTTCAAGTGCCAAATTTCTCAAATAAGTGGCTACTTAAAGCTTGTAATCACTCCAACTACTGGCATTAACCAAACCCAAACCTCAGGTATCTAACTGTGATAGTCGCATTCCACCCAACTTGAAAATACATGATTTTAATGGAGTTGAAATTAAGCCACTGAACTGCATAAGTGCTCCAGTTCCTTTCCCAAAGCACTTGTGCAGATGTCTAGAGAAGAAATTTAAGCAGATGGTAAATATATTCCCAAACCCATTCAATTGCAAGAGGTTCTTGTAAAAGTAAGTTATTGAAAAGAAAAAGGGGAAAGAAGAGAAAGAGAAGAGAAGAGAAAGAGAAGAGAAAGAGAAGAGAAGAGAAGAGAAGAGAAGAGAAGAGAAGAGAAGAGAAGAGAAGAGAAGAGAAGAGAAGAGAGAAGGGAGGGGGTCTGGAAGGTGAGGTGAGGAAAGAAGGTGCGGAAAGGTGTGGAAAGGAAAGGTGTGGAAAGGGAAGGTGCGGAAAGGAAAGGAAAGGAAAGGAAAGGAAAGGAAAGGAAAGGAAAGGAAAGGAAAGGAAAGGAAAGGAAAGGAAAGGAAAGGAAAGGGAAAGGGAAAGGGAAAGGGAAAGGGAAAGGGAAAGGGAAAGGGAAAGGGAAAGGGAAAGGGAAAGGGAAAGGGGAAAGGACTATTTTTTTAATATATTTTCTTTCTCTACCCTTTCGTGTAGGACCACTAGATGCCACTGTACCCTAAGGAAGAAAATGAACCACAGCTTCACAGCCTATTTAAATCCAGAGCATAAACAGTTTGAGAAAGCCAGTGTTGATTCCAACACTGCAATTTCTTGAAGTGTTTTTTGCGACCAGACCCGGCCAGACTGTTGATAAGCATGGTACCTTGAAGCAGAGAGCTTAGTTCAAGAGGGTTAAAACACTTAGAGGTGTTTTGAGGTGTCCCAGCTGTTTGCAGAACTGCTGCTAAGGGCTGAAGCCGTTGTCAGCTGAGGCAGAATCTTCCCCAGCACAGCAGGAGCATCCCCTGGCAGCATCCCTGGGGGATGTCTTTCTCACTCTTCCTTTCTCACAGAAAGAGTGGGGTTACAGGTGCTGGTGTTCCATTTTCCTAGAGCCACGTACAGCAATTAATACTGGAATGCTTAGAAGGAGAAAAAGCATCTTCCAGGAGGAGGCGATGTATAACCTGATGATGCTTTTGTGACTCTAGCAGTTGTATTTGGAATAAGAAAAAATAGATGGAATAGCTCAGCATATTGAATCTGAATTAATAATCATGAAATTACAGTGCATAACTGAAAATGGAATACTGTAAATTTTTTTTTCTCCCCAGCTTCTTAAAATATCTGGGTTTTTTTGCATTTTCTTAGTGTCCTGGTCCTATTGGAGGAAGTATTTGGTCCAGCAGCACAGAACAGCCATAATTTTATCTCAAAAGTCATCTATAATTTTATCCTGTCAAAGAGGATGTGGCCATTCAATTCACTGGTATTTTAATGAGATTTATATACACAGTAATACATTTCCACCAATACCTGTGTCTTAGAACCTTTTCCCAGCTCTATTTTAAAGATAACCCTATAAAAAAATTTTTAAAAAAATTAAAAAATTTCTCCAATCCCCCCAAAAAGCCCCCCACACCAAAACCCAACTTCTCCCATCATTTTAATATGCTGCAATTTTCTGAGAGAAGAAATGAAAAATTAGATATCTGAACAGTGAGGTCTACACTTGGATCAAAATATTCCCTATGGTGAGGTAAACCCTTCTGTTCCCACAGTGAGACGCAGCTCTGTCAGAAATTATGGCAGAAGAATTCAGAAGAGGAGATGGGTTATATGATCCCCACCTTTCTTCTTGTGTTTTTATCAGTGCCACAGCTGTCCCTGAGCTGATCTGCAATTTTTTTTTTACCTCAATACAGCTGTATGAGTATGTAATATATTTTGAAACACACTTGTTTTACACCCCACAGAATGGGAAAAAAAAAAAAAAGTCAATGTCATTAAAACATCCTTTAATTTCAGACATTTCCTCAAAGGTGGGTGTATTTCTCCTTCTGTCTGGCTGCTGGAACATTTTGATGCGCGCTTCTCTGATCTTTTTATCACATCCAGTTGGTGCTGAGCTGAATTTCAATTTTACACAGCATTTTTTCTCCTCCAAATTTTCCTGAGCCTTTGAGCAACCTGCATGATGATGCCTGAAATACTGAGTATTCTGTCATAGACCATAGGTAGGCTAAATCTGAGTTTCACCAGTGTGGGGGTGCAGGCTTCCCCCCATATCACCAACGGTAATAAAATATTGAAGGTGGGGAAGGGAAGAGAAAGGGAAAGGGAAAGGGAAAGGGAAAGGGAAAGGGAAAGGGAAAGGGAAAGGGAAAGATCACAAACACCCACTTTTGTGCCTTCTTATGCAAACCAAGCAATGAGGATTCTCCATATTCTTATCATTAATCTGTGATGAATTTTTTAGTCTACTGGAGGTGTCCTTCTGTGTGCTGACATGTGCTGCTCTGATTTGGTAGGGCTTTGCCTTCATTCAGCTTACTGATACATTTTTTTTTTCTGTCATGGAGAAAAAGAGTCTTACTGAACTTCCCTTGGGGTCATTAGGAGGGAGGATCATGGATATCCTTAGGAAACACATGCACACAGACACTCACCCAAAGAAAACTCTTGAAGTAAGAGTGCTCTGTCAGAATTAAAAGCTTATTGCATGTTGGGATTCCACAAAAAAACCAACCAACCAAACCCAAACCCAGAACAAAAACAGAACAAACAACAACAAAGCAACACCAAAAACCCAAACCTGATTAAAATGGCAAGATCCTGCAATTAGATGAAATCTGTACCTGGTTGATTCAACACTCTGGCAAACATCTTTCTCCTGTCCTTTGCGAGTTCCTCTATCAGCTTGTAGTGAAGTGCTTCTGCACTCCCCAGATATAATGATCAAGACATTGTAATGAAAGTAAAACCTGTGACACTGGTATTATATACTATATATATATATATATATTATATATTATATATATAACTGGTGTTATTCAGCCACAGACTGCTCACCCTGTTCCTAAGACAAAAATGCATTTTTTGACTTTTCTTTTCCCCCCCTTTTCATTAAGTTAAAGATGCAAATGACATCCCAGTGGTTGAAATACTATGACCAAAAAAAAAACCCAAACCCCACCTTTCCAAACTTTGTCTGCCCAGTATTGAATAAACACTGCATGAGCAGAGGTGTTTTATTTGCATTCCCCTTTCTGTTCAGAATGTCTAGCACAATTGTGAAGTCTGTTGAGTTTCTGAAAATATTGTAGACTATTTTAGGTGCGGTCCTTGGAAAGAACCTGTGTGCACTGAACAGAGGTGCTGAGTAACATTTTAGAATTTAATTAGTTTTAACTACAGAATCACCCCAAAGTCTCAACCTCCCCATTTACTAAAAAAAAAAAAAAAAAGCTGCACAAAGTGTGATTATATTCATAAAAAACATTTCCCAGGCCCCTACTAGGGCAGTGAGCTAAAGAAACTGAAGGATTTACAGAAGTAATTAAATTCTAAACACTGGCAAAAAAAAAAAAAAAAAAAAAAAAAAAAATCCAGTAATATGTTAAATTAATCTTCAAGAATTAAATTGAATTTGCTTCATATTTCAGGGGATTTTTTGTGTTTTATGGCATTTCACACATTTACTATTTTTTTTTCTGCAGATCCAGCTAGGCTATTAGCCCAGTATATTGATCAATTAATTTGCACTTTAAGTCCAAACATGGAAACTTGTACTGAAAGATCTTGGGGCTTGATTGATTATTTTGGGTGTGGATTTGTTTGCTTTGGGTAAATGCAATTGCAATAAATTCCCTTAGAACAACACGAGTCAGTGCCATGGGTAAATACAGTGAAACTATGATAGAAGCAGGAATAGATATAGATAATGACAGAATATAAAATAATAATAATAATAATAGAAGATAATAATAGAATGTACACATTAACTGGTGGATTGAAGATGGGAGATCAAGAGCATCTGCTCTCCTAAACCACAGTAAAGATGGGGATATTTAATGATGGGGATATTTAATGTGATAATAAAATATTAACAACACTGTTTCACTCAGTAGGCTGTGACAAAACAAAACAGGTCCACAATTTTTTTTCAGAATATTTACCAAAGTTTTTGTTCTCTTGGGAAGAATTTAGTGGGAGTCATGTTAAGTATTTTGCCAGTGTTGGAGCCAGTGTTTCTTCCAGGTCAGGAGGAATTCTTGTGTGATTAGTTTGTTCCCATTTTCATGGAAATGATGACTTTTGGAGACACAACACCAGACTGGATTGTCTTGGGCTTGGTCCAACTGGGAAATCCCAATATTTCCCATTAGACATGCAGCTGAAATGCTGAACAAACACCTTGTCACGTCACTGGAGAAGGGAATAGAGAAGTGAGATTTTCAGGGTGGGGACTATGCACAGAAATGCAGAAAATAAAATGTTCTACAGGCTGCCTGCTGCAGCAGTTTAATTTAAGAAAGCACCTTTTATTCAAGCAGGGTAGGAGCCAGATTTATAGGTGGTAGGAACCATTCTCAGCCAAGATTAGAAAGACATTCAAAGTTCATGGGGGCAATCCCCTACAGCTTTTTCTCATGCAAAAGTGCAATTGACTTGAAAAAGAGTGTTTTGGCAGGGAAAATAACTTTTGTTCAGAGTTTATGTTTAGTGATAAAGACAAAATAGCTTTAGGGAGATCATATGGCAAGAAAAAAGCTCCCAAACAAAATGTGTTACAGTGCTAAAAAAATTGTTAAA